TACTAAGACGGTTTTGAAAAAAATTGGTATATTTTAAATTTTAGCACAGAGCAATAATATAGTGCTATTCAGGGAATACCTACAGGCATTTTTTAAACTACAACATGTAAGAACCTTTCAAGTGTGAAGATGGGATAAAGGATCCTCCCGGCCCCAGGGTGAGGGTGAATTAGGAGGATGTGTGCAGGTTAGCCACCCCCCACCCTCCCCAAGAGGCCTGGGCATGATCTCCAAGGCCTCAGAGAAGTATGCAACAACGCCCCAACCTTAGAAAGGCAGCCACAGAAGCCTGCTTGCCTTGGCTAGAGGGGGTTCTGTCACAGCATTCTGAGGTTCAGGATTACAGATACACCTGGACCCCCACCTAGGAGCCTGAGCGACAGGCACCTCGGAGTGGCCAGAGTCTGAGGTATCCATAGGGGGCAGTGTGACAACTCAGAGAGCTCTGAAGAGTCCCAAAGTGTCTCCCCCGCTTCCTCCCGCAGACCCTCCGTCCCCGCTACCGGCCAACTCCCTCTTCCTCTGGGAGTGATTCCCGCCCCCTTTCCCCCCACCCCCACCCCGGCCCCAGTGACTGGAGACAGAAACTCTGACTTTTCCTTCTCTGCAGCTGTAAGACTAAGGCTTGTCATCCTGTCGCACCATAGCTCCACCCCTTTAAGTACAGGTATCTGGGGGGATGCATGGAAAGTGGAAAGGGGGAAGGGACAGGCTGGTGGCACCTGTGGTTCTGGGGTGGGAGTGGGGCGGTTGGCTTGGCCCCTGCGTCTCTTTCTCCAGGCTTGGCTTGCAGTATCATCACCCATCACAAGGGGGAGCTACCACCTTGCAAAACTTGCCCAGCGGTTCTCAGCTGCAGAGAGGGTGCGGCCCTGCCAGAGAGGGTGGGTTTCTGGGCGCCTTCTCCAGCTTTCCTCCACCCAGAACGTACTAGGACATGCAGGCCCACAGCGTGGAGGAGAGACTGGGGACCGCAGGAATGGAGCTTCCAGGGGTGCAGCAGAGACCCTGCTGCCGGGCTCTGCGGATCCAGGCACAGGCTGGACTTGGAGTGCACTGGGAAGAACTGATGTTTTCCGCAGAGCTCTGCTAACACAACAGAGTACTGACCACTCCCGCTTAAGGGAAGGCTGGTGGGCAGGGTCAGCACACTAGGAGGAGCCTTACAGGGTCAAAGTAGTGGTTCTAGAGTTACGAATCTCTTTACTTCAAGCTATTTTTCTTTAAAAAATATTTTATTTTTTTAAAAGTATATATATTTTTAAATTGATTTTTAGAGAGAGAGAAACAATGATGTGAGAGTGGAACATGGGTTGGCTGCCTCCTGCACACATGCCACCAAAAGATTGAGGTGCAATATAGCAACGTTGCAGAAACAGGGTTTACAGACATGAAATAAGTTTAACTATACAGCTCAGTTGTTTTTTTAACTTATGTTTTCACTAGTTATTATGTATAATATTATGTGCATACATATCCAATACTTACATATTCACAGGTGCCACTGTTTATTACTGTATGTCACAACTCTTGTCCAAGTCAGCAAGTTTTTACTAAATTAAGGAGCTACTGTCTGCCTACCACCATCCTACTCTTCTGTATGAAAAGTCAAGAGAGTCCTAGCCAGTTTGGCTCACTGGATAGAGCGTCAGCCTGTGGACTGAAGGGTCCCAGGTTTGATTCAGGTCAAGGGTATATGCCTGGCGTCGCCTGGGGTCCTGAGCATGGTCCCCAGGAGAGGGTGTGCAGAAGGCAGCCGATTGATCTCTCTCTCTCTCTCTCTCTCTCTCTCTCTCTCTCTCTCTCTCTCTCTCCCTCTTTCTCTTCCTTCCTCTCTGAAGCCAATAAAAAAGAAAGAAAAAGAGAAAAATAAGGACAGCCCGGTTGGTATGGCTCAGCAGTTGAGTGTTGACCCAGGAACCAAAAGCTGGTTCGATTTCCAGTCAGGGCACATTCCTGGGTTGCAGGCTCAGCCCTCCGTGTGGGGGCCATGCAGGAGGCAGCCAATCGATGACCTCTCTCTCATTGATGTTTCTATCCCTCTTCCTTCCTTCCTCTTTCTAAAAATCAATAAAAATATATTTTAAAAAGAAAAGGAAAGGAAGGAAGAACAGTACATGTTTGTCTCGTGGCTGTGATGAGGTCAGTATTATTATAAATTGTAGTCATTCCTTGACAGAATGAACCGTTAGGGCCTTGGAGGGGAATGGCCGGGTGTGTCATCACTTGCAGTGGCCGTATTTTTGGAATCCAAAGTGAGACAAATTGTCATGTCTGAATATACTAACTCGCAGAACCTCAGAAGATATTATTGGATCCAGGACGTTTGGTCAGGGCAGCCACACTCCCAGCACAGAGCCAGGCACTGGGTGGCTAAGGAGAGCGCTTTTGGAAGTGGATCCTGCTCTCTGGCCTGGGGCTACATGTCTCTGGAAGCTGTACAAAGGGTGATGTCTTTGACCACAGGCGGGATCAAAATGAGTTGGAGCCTGTTGCGTGTGTGTGTGTGTGTGTGTGTGTGTGTGTGTGTGTGAAAGAGAGAGAGAGAGAGAGAGAGAGAGAGAGAGAGAGAGAGAGAGAGAGAGAGAGAGAGAGAGAGAGAGAGAGAGAGAGAGAGAGAGAGAGAGAATCCCTTAGGCCTTCGAAGGCACTGGAGTCCCATCACCCTCCCTCCTCATCTGTGCTTTGTGGTCAGCCTGGCCTTGTCTCACTCAGACCCCATCACCCACCCAGACCAGGGAAGTGCCCCGGGAAGTCAAGTGAGTGAGCAGGATGTGACCCATGGTGAGGCAGCTTCCAGACCTTCCCTGATCCCTGAGTCAGTCCGCTACTTCGGTACTTAAAAGGAACTCCTTCTGCCAGTTTGCTAGTTCACTATAACGTTGACACCTCTTCTGCCCCCTCTACTGCCCCTTCTTACCCAGGTGTGGGTCTTTAGGGACAGGAAGGTAATTCCTTCTCTAAGCCCCAGAGGGTCCCCTGGAGGAATAAGGGATGGGTGTGCGTGTGTGAGGGGGCGGGGGGGGGGGGGGGGGGGAGGGAGCTGGCCTTAGCATGGATGCAGAAGCTTCTCTCCTACAATGTGGTGACAGCTCTGGTCTGGGGTGCCCCAGCCTGGTGTGGCGCCTCTGGGGCCAGGATGGGTGAGGGACAGAGAAGGCCAGAGGGGGTTGGGCTGACGGGGGAAGGCTGGCCTGGACTGCGCTCAGCCATCGGCCCTGGGCCAGGGTGGAAAGTATGTGTGTGAGCTCATCTGGAAGGTGGCTCCTGGCCAGCCAGGCCTGCCTCCCTTTCAGGCCTCCTCTGCCCAGCCTCCTTGCAAGCTGCCTCTAGGTCTCCCCCTTGTCTCTGGGTCTCCCCCGTGTGTGTGTGTGTGTGTGTGTGTGTGTGTGTGTGTGTGTGTGTGTCCCCTGTCTCCTCTCCCAGACTGAGGGAGGAATGCAGAAACCCCCAGCTGGGTGTGCAGGAACTGGACTTCCGAAGAGGTGAATTCAGATTTGGGGGCCAGATAAGAAGGGGGAACAGGGACTTCATGACAACAGGGCATCCTTGACTGGGGTTTTCTTGGGGTTTTGGGGAATGGGAACGACCCCTGAAGCCTTCCTCTCCCTCCTAAGTCCTTGCCATGGCCATTTAGCACCCCATCCCTCCTCTACCTGCTGCCATTGTCCTACTTAGTGCTTTGGCTTCTGAGTCCTGCTGCCTCCTTTCTTTCCCCACCAAAGCCTGTTCCTGCCCCTAAGAAGGGAGGTGACGGACGGCTGGTAAAGTGGATTCCTGAGGAAGAGCCCTTCTCCCCTGAACCTCCAATCCCCATGCTGCTGATGCACCTTAGGGCACAGCAGGCAAGCACATGATCCCGTACCAAGTAGATACCCAGCTAAATGGTCCATCCAGGAAGGGACACTCGGAGACAGGGCCAGAATCTGCCTGTACAGGGGAAACGTCAGACAGGCCTGAGTTTTAGTTTTGGACGAATGAGCTGTGACCTCAAGCAAGTCTTAGCTGGGCCTCAGTGTTGGCAGCTGTAAAATGGAGGCAGTGTCCGTGCTTGTGCCACTGGGTGTGGTGAAGGTCTCAGCTGGTTTACCACCTCCCCTGAGCTGGAAAGGGAAATGGGGATCCGGAGGAGAAAGGGCTGGGAAGTCCATCAGATTGTGAGGAGAAGGGGCCCTTGGGGAAAGACTGGGAAAGGTCAATAGAGCTGATCAGACTGGTGTGTGTGTGTGTGTGTGTGTGTGTGTGTGTGTGTGTGTGTATTCACGTGCTGGGGTCACTGTGCTCAGTCCTCTCTCCTCTACAGCACTCAGCTCCACTTCGATCTTCCCTTCCCAGCCTGCTGACCCAGTGCCTGGCTGGCAGCCTCGGAGGCAAGGGCCCAGCTGGTGGCCGGAGCCCTGGAGAAGAGGTGATGACAAGGGAGTCCATGGCTCCCCACCCCAAACGTGTGGGGGGGTATGGTGGGCAGAGCACTGCCTCTTCTCTGTGCTTGCCCCAATCCTCAGGGCTGGCTTCTCTGGGTTCTGCCCAAACCTCCTTGCAGAGTCCCCTCGGCTCCCCCCTGGCTGCTCTAACTCACATGTGCTGCTTTCGAATAAAGGAACTTGGAACCGTGGCCGTTGGGTCGGGCCCAGTGGACAGAGAGGGTAGGGCCAGGGAAAGTGCATTTGCAGGCCTCTCAGGAGCCGCAGGGCCCTCTGCTCTCCTCTCACCCGGCCTCACCAGCGTTTACCCAGCGGGGCCTGGAGAACACAGCCATTTCCTAGGGGAGCCAGGCAGCCTCCCTGGGTTGGATTCCTCGGGCCCAGGGCAGCACGGGACCAGCAGCCTCCACCCGGCACTGTTCCCGGCACTGCGAAGCCACGTCCACCCCTTCCCCCTTTGTCTCTGGCTCTCCAGGCCCATCTCTCCCCCTTGGCTCCAGAGAGCATCTTGTGATTCCAGAATCAGGGCCAAACAATTTCCTCGTGATGGGGAAACCGCACTTAGCCTCGGGAGCCCTAGGCTCCCCCTTCTCTTCCCTCTGGCAGCCTCTCCTCCTCAGGCTCCTCCACGGGTTCCAGCTGTGTTTTGCAGAACTCCCACTGGATAGCATCTGTAATTGCCTCCAGATGTGGGCCACAGAAACACAAAGGGACCATGAGCTCATCTGTGAGCTCCTCACCACATGCATGGGACCCACCACGCCAGACACCCCTGACTTCCTCCTGCCGGCTTCCCGTGGGTCCCCGTCCCCTCTGGTGAGGGTGGCAGGGAGGTGGTGTCCAGCTCCACTGAGACAAGCAGGTGGTGCCAAACAGCTGTTGGCAGGAGAGGCACAGGAGGCCGGGCACAGGGTCAGTGTTCCTGGCTGGAAGGTGGGGTACCTCTTCTGCCAAAGCAATCACACCACGCAGCCCTGAATAGCAGCTGGATAGAAGCACCGGCCTAGGTGGGGCCAGGACTCGTGGAGGCAGGCTGTGGAGGGGGCCTGGGCTGAAGCCCAGTGAGCCGGGCTGGGCTGAGGCAGGAAGGGAAAGGGGCGGGAGGACTTGCTCCCTCCAGCTGAGCTGACTCAGCAGCCGAGCCAAACCTCCCTGCAGGCTGGTTTTGGAGGAAGGGTGGGTCGCAGCCTGGGAACCCTGTCTGGGCTGCAGTTTCTCAGGAAAGAGGAAACAAAGCCTTGCTCTTCTGTTCTGCCCTTCCAACCTGGCCATCCTGCCTCGCTTGAGCAGTTGGGGTGCGATGTCTGTTTTGTCAGGCTGCTCCTCGCGTTGGCCATGGGGCAACCTCTTCCCCCTCTGTTATTTCTGCCCCAAGAGCTGAGCCCAGGCCGGGAAGAAACATAGATCCTAAGGGCTGAGGGGGGCGGGGGGGCTGGCTGCCACAGAGCTGGGGCTGAATATGATCCTGGGAATCTCCCCGCAGCATGCAGAGGAGTGAGGAAACGGGGTCTGTGGCCAGATCACAGGACGACGGGGTAATGCAGTGTAGGAAGATTTTCCGAGTGGCCTCAGCTTGACCACTTCCTCTTGCCTTTGTAGCCCTGGGTCTCTTTGTAATCCCTTAGGCCAGGTTGGCAGAGAGCAGCTGGGCTCTGCGGACTCTCCCCTGCCCCATGGAGTGTGTATGCCCACCTCCCCAACTCCGGCCTCTGAATCCCTTTGTCCACTAAGAATAAACATATATTTTTACAAAAAATAGCAAAACCCCATCTCTTATAAAGCATTGCTCATGAGCATGCTTCCCCTTTTTATTTTATTAATCCTTACTTGAGGATTCCCTCCCCCATTGATTTTTATTTATTTTTTGTTTAATGTCTTTATTTATTTTATTTAAAAATGTTTGTTGAAAGTATTACATATGTTCCCTTTTGCCTCACTGACAACTTACAGCCTGCTCCTGTCCACCCCTCCCACCCTCCAGCCCACTCAGGCCTTCACCCCCCCTATTGTCTGTGCCCATTGGTTATGCATATATGTATACGAGTTCATTGGTTGATCTCTTCCCACCTGCCTACCCTCCCCTACCCTCCCTCTGAGGTTTGATAGTTTGTCTGATGCTTTTATGTCTCTGTATCTATTTTTTTTCCTGGATCTATTTTTGTTAATCAGTTTATGTTGTTCATTATATTCCACATAGTGGCCCAGTGCACTGATTCATGCACATTGAAAGGAAATTAATTAGAATAAATATTTTAATATTGCTATTCACCCTTTTTCTGTAATAGAAGTGTCAACTAAATTCGACAATGACAGATCGAAACACTTGCCTGTGATTGGCGCCAGCAAGAGTTTTATATGTATCATGCATGTGAGAGTCAACGTTTATTTTTAAGTTGTCATATGCATCATATGTACCAGCAGGTCAGTCAGTCGGAGAGACAGACAAATGGTCAGTCACTTAGGCTTTTATATATATAGATATGAGTGAGATCATGTGATACTTATCTTTCTCTGACTGGTGTATTTCACTTAGCATAATGCTCTCCAGGTTCATCCATGCTCTTTCTTTTTTATAGCTGCATAGTACTCCATTGTGTGGATGTGCCACAGTTTTTAATCCACTCACCTGCTGATGGCACTTAGGCTATTTCCAAATCTTAGCTATTGTAAATTGTGCTGCTATGAACATAGAGTTGCATATATTCTTTCTGATTGTTGTTTCTAATTCCTTGGGATATATTTCTAGAAGTGGGATCACTGGGTCAAATGGGAGTTTCAGTTTTTGTTTTGAGGATTTTTTCTTTTTCTTGTTAATCCTCACATAAGGATATTTTTCCATTGAATTTTAGGGACAGTGGAAGACAGAGAAACATCAATGTGAGAGATGACATTGTGAAACATCAACCAAACACATCGATTGGTTGCCTCTTGCACAAACCCTGAAACTCTGACCAGAGCACGGGAGAGGGAGGAGCCTGCAACAGTGGAAGACAGAGAAACATCAATGTGAGAGATGACAATGTGAAACATCAACCAAACACATCGATTGGTTGCCTCTTGCAACACATCGATTGGTTGCCTCTCTGACAGTGGAAGACAGAGAAACATCAATGTGAGAGATGACAATGTGAAACATCAACCAAACACATCGATTGGTTGCCTCTTGCACAA